TAATAATAATAATAATAATAATAATAATAATAATAATAATAATAATAATAATAATAATAATAATAATAATAATAATAATAATAATAATAATAATAATAATAATAATAATAATAATAATAATAATAATAATAATAATAATAATAATAATAATAATAATAATAATAATAATAATAATAATAATAATAATAATAATAATAATAATAATAATAATAATAATAATAATAATAATAATAATAATAATAATAATAATAATAATAATAATAATAATAATAATAATAATAATAATAATAATAATAATAATAATAATGACGATGGCATTGATAACAATTACTATTATTATAGTTTTCGTCATCATTATCATCGTCATATTATTAATATTACTGCCGACAGAATTTTTCGTGCAAAATGAAATTCTTTTTTTCTTTTAGTCATGTAAAAGAAAAATGTCAATCAAAAAATAGAGAAAAAAGAAATGCTATTTTGGTTGTTGAGCTTACATAGTTATCGTCAGCCGTACACATCTTTTAGACCTTTATTTTTATTGCTTCACATAAATTGATGGATATGTGAGGCGGTGATTATGTTGGAATGAGCGCATAAGTGTTTATGAAATGGAAGAGATGAATAAATGAATTGAAATATTTTATAATTTCACTCGTTTAATTTTAACTCTTATTTAGTTTTTAGATTTTGTACTGAAATTTAATAATTATTCAGAAATCGTTTTTATTGCGATTAACTTGGTTATAATAGTACTGACTTATAGTTATTGGTTGATATTATTTTGGAATTTCTTTTTTTTTGGATTTCTTATTAAATATTTCATTGTTGTTCTCACTTTTTCTTTTTTTTGAAGATATTTCCCGTTCGTTTCACTAGTGATTACTTATTTCTTGAAATGAAATTTTAAAGTCATGTTTCATAGTGAAATTTTTTACGTCGCTTATTTTGAAAGATAAGTGCATTTCCTTTGTCATTTCAAAGATTTTTTCTTTTTAACTTTAAATTTTAGATGTGCTGCCAACGACAGTTATGCTTCTATTGGTGGCTTTACTCCCTAATTATCACAATATTTGCTGATCGTTATGATTTCCAATATCCATCATCAGCATCATCAGCATTATCATCCTTATCATCATCATCTTCTTATTTTCGAAGGCTAAATAACAGAGATGACTTAGTTCGTGAACGTGATGGGATGCATCGAATTATGAGTAAGTTGACATTATTTAATTTTAATTAAATATTTTGTTTAGTGTCTCGAAGAATTAAAATGTGAACTTGATAAATTATGACAAGTGAACCTTTTTTTTGTTTTATAATTTGATATAATTGGCTCAAAGGCGATAGAAATTTTGAACAAGTCGAAATAAAATTAAAGTCAGTTAATTGATTAATTAATTAAGAATAACGCATTTTCCGCAAACTCTAGCAATTATAAAGAGGTCAAAGTAAGTTGAAAGGTACACACTATTGGATTCATTCAACCTTTTTTAATGGCAAATATCATATTGACTTAATTTTGCTGATTAATTAGCTACTGAAAGAAAAAGAGAATTAAAATTGTTGATTTGCAGAAATTTATCATTATGATAATTTAACTGATTGTGAAAGTGCTTGTGAAATACCATGTGGTACAACGTACGTGATCCGAAATGACGTTGACGAACGGCGACAATTTATTTGTATGAAACGCAAAGCACCCATTGTTTCAGCATTTATTAATATTAGCACTACGGGCATTATTCCATTTATTTTAGCCGCTGCATTGGTTTGTTCAGTTTTTTTTCTTTCTGAATATTTACGTTTTAATTATTAAAAAATACTATAATTTCCACAACGACAAGCGAAAAAAATAATTAAATGAAAAAAAAGGCCGAAATTTGCTTAAATTGATTTATGTACGATTTTTTCTGAGATATAATTTAGATAAAAGTACATAAAACTTCCATAAACCTGCAAACTTATGCAAACTTCATTGATTTTGAATATCATATTGCATGCAAGTTGTATGCATTCCTTGGAACTATAACATGATAAAATGTTTCATCTTAAATTTAAGCAATTAATTTAAGTGATATATTGCTCAGACATTGATGCTTCCTACGTCAGGTATTCCAGATATTATGTGGTTTGTTGCTAATTACGTGTTGTTGTTGCATTCGTTGCGGTTGCGCATGTTGCCGACGAATGTGTCATTCTAGAAATTCATCCAATGATCCACTGGTGAATGGTGAATTCAGGGAAACGCTTGATTCGAAGGACATCGGATATTTGAAGAAAGAAGTTGACAGGAAGATTATTACTGTATAATTTTATGTGTCTGGAAAAATTTTCATTTTTTCGATTTTGTTTTTTGTTTTTTGAAGATTTCAAATGCTCATCATATATTATACAATAAAATAATTAAATTGATTATTTAATGGTATTTGCTTTTTGATCTAAACTGTTGTTGTTATTGGTGTCATTTTTTCACCGTAATCCCATTATTGTTTCAATCTTTTTTAATTGTATGGTAATTAAATGATGAAAATGTACAAATATCACTTTTCATTTTGCCCTTAATTATTAAATTAACTATCCTTTGAAATTTGTAAAATTCCGATAGCATTAGGATTTGATCAATTCTTAACATTGCGCTATTTATCAATTTCTTATCATATGTTAAATACATCGAATGACCTCTTCCTGTCAATTCAGGGTGTGTGCGTTTTGCATGCGAAGTTAGCTAAGTGGTCATTGATGTCCATTTTCTCGAACATCACTTCGTATTACTTACCATCAACCTATTGTTAACTGGTTGAACAAATTGGCGAAGTTTTCACCTAAGTTGTTCACATTTTTTCAACTTGAAATGTATTTGAGCCTTCTTCATTTCTTCATTTACTCATTAATCAATTTACTATTGACATAAACTAGCGTCATCATATGTCAATTAATTTGAGCGGCTTTGTCACTTACTTTTTTAATGTGCATTGATCTCGAAACTTTATCCGATGGCTAAGCTAAACATTTTAGTACATAAATTCCAAACTTTAACCTTCCATCTAGTGATAAGCTCATTAAATTATTGAAAGCATTTCCAAACGTAATTTTATCCATCCCACATTTTTCAAATTTCTCGTCAAAGTTTGTCCATCGAGTAAGCTTTCTTTATTTATTTTTATTTATTTACCCTTTATGCATCCATTTATGTATTTTTAGATTTTGTTTATTTTTAAATCCTTTAATATCTGCCAAAATAATTAATATGTTAAGGTATGCGGTAACAAATCCACAAATTTAAATACTTAAGAAAATTATCTAAAAATTCTAGCTTAAATATTTTTTGAAAAAAGAGGAAAACAATGGAAATTTGTGAGGAATGTGAAATATTTAATATCATAAAATAGTCTGAGATGTGGTGAGAAGAAATTGACAAAGGTAATTTATAGCTTTGATAGAAAATAAGCATATAAGCAATCACTATAACTTATCTCACATATCCGGATAATATATTGGAATACGAAAGGGAAACTGTTTCCGTTAATTAGGATATCAAAAAAACGGTATCCCTTATTATCAAGAAGTATGTGAATTAAAGTTGATATCATATCGAAATTTATTTCATGCTGTGAATTTTCTCATGCCTTTTTGTTTTTTAAGATCAAGATTTGCTTTATTAAACTTACAAAAAAATATGCAAACTCTACAATTTTTTCGAATTCTTTCCTCTTCCCTCCATTTTTACAATTATTTTTTAGCTCTGGTCACCTTAAATAACTTTCATTTGGTACAATAAGAAAGATTGAAGGTCGCGATTCATAAAAAAATGTACAATAGTGTTTTTTAAAGCTCTCACCTGCTATCGGTTCTTTTGTCCTTTGAATATATAATTTATGGTCATCAGGCAAGATTTTTGAAAGTAATAAATAAAGAGTACAAGTCCTAATAAAAGTACCTCCCATGAAAGTTTGCTTTATTCATTTGGCAATATTTATAACAGTTCCTCGTACTTTTGTGGAAGATATTAAACGTAGATGACGTACGTGTATGTATATAAAAATGAAAATATATTGTGCAAACTACTGAGGGCATTTTCCACTACTCATTTACCTGTATGTAAGAAAGGGAAAGGTAAGAGTAATAGGTGCTGTATGTGAACTTTGCATTACTTATGCTCATATTTATTTGCATGTTTGTTTAGGATGAATTAACATTTCACAATGTCTGTTCAAAGATTCTCGACCAGAAATGTAAACAAATATACCAATGTGATTGCTATCGATGAGAAATATGCAAATTGTGGGAAACTCTTCCTGGCAACATCAAAACAGTTCCATTTATTTGTTTATTTATTTATTTTTTGGACTATTAAATGTAAATAATATATAGGAAAAATGGAAAAAAAAGAAATGTTTTGATAAATGCAGAAATTTACTTCGAAAAATATTTGGACAGGAAATGGGGCTAAAGACTGGATTACTGGATCGGTTAAAGGAATACAATTTCCGAATAGAAATTTATAATTTTGGACCATTTAAATATATAAACAAAAATGTTGACAATTTGCATAGTTCTACATGAAATTCGCATCATTGAAACCTTTTTTTCCTTCAATTTAAGTAATAATGATTTATTAATTAAAGCAATACTTGCTAGTTTTGATTCAACCAATCAATTCTGAGGTAATTAAAAATTTGAAAACTGATTTACAAAAAAGGGATTAAAATAATGGAATTAATTATAAGAAAAAAGACCACAATACCAGCATAAAAAAGGATGTGTTTTAATAATTTTCCAAAAGAATAGAATTTACTTATTAAACGGAAATTTGGTAATTAACAGTGAAAAATAGAAACTACAGAATCTTTTTTAGTGATTGAAATTTGCTAAACTTAAAAACAATTTATAAAATTCTAAATTTAAGCGGCATGTATTCTCATAACAAATTTTACTCACATTTAAATACGTAAAAATACGACTTCTAAAAAAAAAAAGTGTTTGGAATAAAATGAAATCGTCAAATACATTTTTCCGTTCTTTGATTATTTCTATTAAAAAGTCGCTTGAAAGTAGAACACTTAAATGATACTTGAGTGAAGTATGGAAATATTGACCGTATAATTCACACAATTATTTTCTGTGCATTTTATTTTATATGTACACATAATTATTGTTTGTGCATTCTTTCTTATATGTCATGCAAAATTTATAGGAACGAGTTCTTTCTCATTTAATCATTTTTCCTTAATTTATCATGTAAATACCAGACAAATAAATATGCTAATAAGTTGCATAATGAAATAATAAATGTTGTAGAGAATATTGGAGCTAATTGGTGTTACCATTAACTTAACAACAACAATCGTAGTAGCAGCACTACTGAAGAACATGGAATAAGATGAATAAATTGCGTAATATGGATAATTAATTATTGTAATTATCGTAAGCCTCCATCACTATGCAATATT